AAAAGTTACAGTCGTGCACCTGCTGACGACAAAGTCTCGATTTCGTGTTGTTTCACTATTATCCCTCTCACAACTCCAAAATATACGTACATATATTACTTTTGTACAAATTCAACTACTTTCATGACCGCAGGTTAAGTTTTCTAAACGTTTCAACTCGAAATGAAACACTTGACAGCGAATATTTTTGATTCCGTCATTTTGTTACGTCACGAGTTTTTTTCTCTCAACATTCTTTGAAAAAAACATTGTGTTTGACAGCGTAAATACGCCCGATACGAATATATGGAATGCATTTCATGTTTATTTCTGGATCAACTATGTCAAGAAATTCTTTATAACGTTATTTTTTCTGTTTGCATTGTGACTGTCTAAAAATAGAAATTTGTGTATCCTTAAGGATACATTCGGCATCTGCACCGGTGTGCCAAAAAGATAATTTCGGCATGCGCACGAGGGTACCAAAAGGATACATTCTGTATGAAAGGGTTTAACACTCCAAAAATAATTAATACCATTATTTTCATAAGCTTAATTACAAAAGAAATAACAAGTTCTTTGATAGTAGTAAGAGAGGTAGATAGAAGCACTGACAGATTAGTAGTAGAACACTTACTAGATGTGGAGATGAAACGAAATTTAAATGGTTGTTTGTGTAATTTAGGTAAAAGAGGGACAAAAGATACAAGAGGGACAGTCAAACTCATAGATCGAAAACAAACTGACAACGCCATGGCCAAAAATAAAAAGACAAACAGACAAATAATAGATGAAACAACATTAAAAACTAAAGACTAAGCAACACGAACCCCACCAAAAACTGGGGGTGATCTCAGATGCTCCGGAAGGGTAAGCAGATCCTGCTCCACATGTGGCACCCGTCATGTTGCTCATGTTATTACAAATCTGGTAAATAGTCTAATTCGGTAAGTCACATTCGTGAAAAGGGAAGGGTATTGTAGTTACTACATAAGGAACATATCCAATATCATCTGTGAAACGGTTATTCAATAACGGTCAACCAACTCGTGATGGCGTCCGTAAAATTTACGAAGGGATGATTTCAACTTCACCATTTGGAACTCTTGGTTTAAAAGCTTCCTTGTGAGCAGCAATCATCTATCAAGGAAATCATGATAGGAAACACAAGCCCGGGAATATCGTATCAATTGGGAGATATATACTCCGTATGCAGGCGCTGCTGAAATGTTGCTACATAGAAATGGAAAGTTCACAATGAGAAAGCTGAAATCATCTCTTTTGTCGTAATGTTTTGTTTTCAACCGACCCTCATTGTCAATTTCTAGATGTAAGTCAAGATATGAGGCATACTTAACTGTATCTGTAGTATTCTTTATCTCTAGTTCGATGGGATAGATTCGTTCAACATAGTCACCAAATTTTGTATTATTTAGTGAGAGAACACCATCTATATAGCGGAACGTAGAGTTAAAGGACATTGCTAACTTCTTATCTTTCTTCCTAAGAAGTTCCTGTATGAAGTCAGTCTCATAATAATAAAGAAACAAGTCGGCAAGAAGAGGGGCACTATTGGTTTCCATTGGAATTCCGACAGTCTGTTAAAAAACACGTCCTCCAAACGTAATCAAATATGCTGTCAATCAAGAAATCAAGCATCTTGATAATGTCAGTTTCAGATAATTTTTTGTTTGAATCAGAGATACTTGTATCTACGTTCGCCATTCTTTTTAATGAAACAAAGTAATACCAACTCTTTCAATTTGTCTTTTAGTTTGGAATGGGGAATACTTGTGTAAAGTGTAGAAAAGTCAAATGTTTTAATACTATTGCAAGATGAGAGAGTCTTAGATTGTATGTACTCTAAAAGATCTTTGGAATTTTTTAGTATCCACATCTCATTCACGCCACTTCTAGAATAGGCAGTTTCACAATTTCAACAGTTTCAAAGCCCGGCTTTGATTGCTGATTAAATAGATGTTAATAATTTAGAAAGAGGTTTCGTGGGGCACTTGGAAGACCCAGCAATATACCGTTGTTAGATTAGGTAACCAGTACATAGTCGGGACATTCAAATGTTCGGAAGAGTCTTGAAACTGGGTAGTGTCAGTGATATGCTTGTTTACAATTTGACTCTCTGCGGACCATACGGACCTGAATGTAGAAGAATTGATAATTCCGTTTTGGAGAACTTCCGTATAGTATATGCGTCACACTACTACTACATTATTGGCTGCTTTGTCTGCCGGTACGAACACATGTCAAACCGCTGCGAGTACTTGGAGTTTATTTTTATTCTAGAAATGGGTATATCATGGACCCTATTATTAAAATAGAATTGTTATCAAAATGAGATATACGAATATCAACAGTATTCATTATTTTATTCAAATAACTGTCTAGAGATTTTTATCAGATTTATCACGTTTACACCAATTTCTACATGAGGCAGACAGAGCGTTTTTAATGACCTGACGACACTATTTCCAATCTATAATAGATGGATGACGATATTTAGGTCCTTCGACGATGTTGATGTCTCCTGTAATGACATGACCATAGGGAACATATCTAAAACTAGATGTTTCACAGTCTCGAGTGGAAGGAGCATTATTTTCTATATTGACGTCTGATGTAACTGACGTATAATTAAAAATCAAACTTCTGCTTTTTTTTTAAAGGAATACGAAATACTAGGTGGTTCTGTATTATCAAAATATGGAGGTATTTGGCTATATCGTTTATGATTATAAAGTTTATTAGATATCTTGAAGTTAGAATAAATAGTAAAACGGCTTGCCATAAGTTTCACTTTGGATACATGTTAGTTCTCTTATTTTATCCATATTCAAAATTAATTTTAAGCAAAAATATTTTTATTTGTATATATTACTGTTTTATATAATATAAGCAGTAGAGGAAATTTACTTTTAACATATACGTAATTAAATGTAGAAAATAACACTTGTTCGAGGAGCACTTTGGGTGTACATTATAATTTTCAAAACTATTTGGATTACTCCGTTACAATATCATTTTCTGGATGAGATTTTTTTTTATACCGGAGTTTACTACAAGATTAAACAACCTGCGATCAATTTAACAAAGCATCTTACGAGAAAAATTACTCTCAAGTCATGAACATTTAAGGAATGACTGTAATATTTTTTCTGTCTATGAAGAAATAACATCAAAAATGTGGTACACACTGAATAACCCGCGTTGCATGTTTTTTAAAAGTGTGAACCATATTTCCTTAAAATTTTATTCTAAATTACATTTTTTTAATGAGTAAATCATATGAAAACGTTGACGTCACGGTCCCATGACAAAATAATGTCTATGAGCTGATAGACAAATACTTTCAGCCAATCAGAAGACGTGCAACATCCAAAATTAAATTATTTCAGACTGTAGAACTTGCAATCAATTTTTCTGAAAAGACCCCCTGGATTATGACATTATACTATCGTTTGTAATAATATAGTTTTATCAATTATGCAATAAGCATTCGTTACTTTAAACAATTTTTTGCAATATATTTCATATATAAGACTTATTTTTTCTAAATAGAGATAAACAAAAATATTGTAAGGTAGGTTTTGGTTGGGTTGTTGTCAACTTGATACCAATAGAAGCAAAAATAAAGTCGGGTTTATTTTGTTATAATTTAATCTTGGATGTAACACGTCTTCTGATTGGCTGACATTTTTGTTTGTCTATCAGCTCATAGACATAATTTTGTCATGTGACCGTGAAGTCATCAACGTTATTTCATGATTTACTCCTTAAAAATGGAATTTAGAATTAAATAAGTACTAACCTAAAAAAAAATATGGTGCACACTTTTAAATAATCCGCTATGCGTGTTTTTCAGTGTGCACCACATTTTTGATGTTATTTCTTCATAGACAGAAAAAATTATTACAGTCATTCCTTAAATATCTTTTATGGTGAAGCGTTTTCATTTTTTGATGATGCAAACACAACTATTTTAATCAGAAATTTGCTATAGTTTCAACCAAGTTATTTTGCTCACCTGTTGAAAAACTGGCACCCAAGTAAAAACCCACTGTTAGATATGCTTACTCTTCGGGAGCATCTGAGATCACCCCCTGTTATTGGCGAAGTTCGTGTTGCTCAGTCTTTAGTTTGTTATGTTGTGTTTTGTATACTGTTGTTTGTCTTTTGGTCGTTCTTCGTTTTTTTACGCCCGTTTTTGGGACATATTAGGGTATTATGGTATACCATTGTCCATCTGTCTGTCCGCCCGTCCGTCAATAACTCAAAAACACTTTCACCAATGTTCATGAAACTTTGGCGAATTGTTTATATCTATTGACGTAAGCCCCCTTTCGATTGTGATAAATTTTAGATTTTCTGTTTCCGAGTTTTGGAGTATTGGGACTTTATTCATAAAAAGGGGGAATTTTCCTGTTTTCGAAAAATAACTAAAAAATGCTTTGAGCAGTTTTCTTGAAACTTTGGTTACTTGTTTATATCTACTGAAATTAGTTCCCTCTTGTTTCTTTGTTTCTTTTTTAATTTCTGAAATGACGTTGAAAACTGTCAAATTTTCACACTTCAGACGGTTATAGAATTTTAAACGTTCATAAATCGAAGCCACAAAACTTAGTTGAACTTGAGGTAGCCTTAAGGGTGCCAAATTATGTTTTGTGTAATGTTGTTTGTCTGTTTGTCTTTTTTCTTTTTTAGCCATGGCGTTGTCCGTTTATTTTTAACTTATGAGTTTGAATGTCCCTTTGGTATCTTTCGCCACTCTTTTACCTAGTATATATATAGGCGCCCTTCATAAGTTGCGCTGGTTGAGTACTCATTTAGCTAAGCTGCTAGAGTAGCTTACTAATCCAGGGGCCAAGGGTTCAAAATCTGACTGGAACTCTTTTGGAAGGTTAAATGGATAAATCTGTAAAATTACAATTAATGTATAACTATATAACCTCCACGCTGATTAACTTCTTCCAGCTTTCTTGATGATACATACTTTTCTTTAATTACAGATGCCAGCCCAGTATTTCTGGACAGGTGGATATAAAGTAAACTACGAATGGACTTGGGGCGTTAATCCGTTTAAGTTACCTTTTGTTGCTCCTAATTGGGCCTACAGACAACCTAACGGCGAAATTTCAGGAGAATGCATAGCAGTCAATAAACTCGATAAAAAGATGTACGACGAACGTTGTGAATCGAGATACAAATATGTCTGCAAGGAATGAGTATAGGCCTAGGGATTCAAACTATGTTATTAGAATACAATGTAATTTTGATTGAAATAAAAAGATATTATTATATTTCTTTATATTCTTAAAGCAGATGTACAGTATATGGTAATCAGATGATGTGTGCATCCTTTATTAATTTCAAAATTATGAAAACCTTGCATCGAAAATGACTTTACATTTCAGTTCAAACTTGTAAATATATAATAGAGATTTAAAGGCAACTTCGGTATGTAACTTGTAATTAATATTAAAAGTAAACTAATATTTTTTAAATCATTCCCAGCAAACCCACAACATTTTAAAAACATTTTTTAAATGTCAGATGGACGTCTCTCACAAAATATTTCAATAAGATATCATTTAAACATAAAAAAAAAATGTTTATTTTATTGTTCTTGAAATGTTTTATTTCTAACATTTAAGTAAAATGTTTTTACAACATTAACAAAATATTATTTGCTAATATCTTTTATTCATGTTCTCAAACATTGTTCTAAAATATCCCTTAGATATTTCATAATATAAAAAAATAATATTTTCTTCAATTGGTATTTTATATTTTAACAACATTTAAAGTAAATATTTTCCAAATATCAAAAAAAAAAAACATTCTGCAAAAAAATGTTTTACAGAAAATATAGTTTTGCTATTTGCATAAAATGTTTTATAACGTAAAATTAAAATGTTTTACATAAAACATCTGAAAAATATTAGCTAAATTTTTTCTATAAAATATTCTGACATACACATTACTTAATAGTCTTACTGATATTTTATTCAACATTTACGGATATAAAAATAACATTTTATTTAAACTTTATTCAAAACCTCACAAACAACGTTGTGTGGAATTAACTCGTTTTTTGGGATAATATATAGTACTACATTTCATCAATATCATGACAAGCAAGATACTATGGTTGAAATCCTTAATTGATATCTTGAAGATCCTTGAAGTCAGATTTTATTCCTTCTTATATTAAAATTCAAAAGAGTCAACATTTAATTAAGTAATAATGTATTAATAAACAATCACCTTTCTTTAATGTTTATTCATTTCGTTCGTGTATATTTTAGAAATTAAGAAATGAAAACTGTAACTGTAATAAGTTCAATTTTCGTATCGTTTATATGCCTCACGGAAAACCGACCTTTTCCGGAATCGACTTTTGTTTTATCACCGGAAATGATTTTGAAATTTGAATTTCGAAACAAAGACAGGATATCAACAAAGAGAGCCAAGAAAATTGTTTGATACGCGATATATACTTACTTGGTAAGAATGATTAATCTGTTAAGATGAAACTTGTGCATTCATTGTGTGTGTTCAGTCATAATCGGAACCAAATTACATCTGTTTCTGGAGGTGCAGATCAAGGTTTTGAAAAAAGGGCGGCCCCTGCCCAAGGAAAGCAAACGTTTGGAGTGATACTTGTAAATAGTCTATACATTTATCTTATAAGTAGCTCCATAAGAGTGTCGGGGTCCCTAAATCCGCCAATGTTCAAGCATCTACGTACACCAATTATGAATTTGTTCATTGATTTAAAAAAAATATAAGGATATGTGGCTTGTGTGTTTGATTGCCAATACACCTTATCGCTATTTGTCCGCCATTACTGGCCATGGACATCACAAAAGTTCCCGTAAAATGTTGACGTCATATTAGAAAATATTTGACACCACACTTGAAAGTAATACACCTTATCGCTATTTGTCCGCCATTACTGGACATCGCACAACTGTCACAAGTTTCCTTAAAATTTTGACGTCATCATAAAAAATATCTGATGCCACAATGGAAAAGTGATTGTTGTTGGACGTCAACAGTTCAAGCAGGATAGATTCTCGGGTCAAGCGGGAATAGCTATAAGGTGTATTATTGTATGACGTATGCTGACGTAAAAAGTTCAAGCGGGACAGATTTCCAAATACTTAAATAGCAATAAGGTGTATGAGACAGCTATCCACCAGAATTTAAATGACTTGGATAAAAGAAATTATAGGTCACTGTACGGCTTTCAAAACCAATGCCATATAGTCTACTTTGAAGCCTTGACAAACAAATGTTAAATTTTTCTCAACACAATTGAAACAAAACAACTAACTGCCTACATTAAATACACATTATGAAAAAGAAATTTGACAGACTTTAACCAACAGCAACTATTGCAATAAGCATGACTCAATACCTTGTTTCGGAGCCACACAAACAAGTTACAATAACACTAATATAAGCACCATTTGAATATGGAGATTTTTTTTCTAGTAAAATCAGTGTATGTATGTATTTGCAAAACAGTAAATTCAATTTCCCTTAACAGCTTAATGAACATTACAAAGACTATGTAAGACTTCAGTACAAGCAAGATAATATAAACTGTTGCTTAAAATTATATTTATTGCTTCATACACACAATGTACATACAATGTATCTTTTATTTTTTAAGAGGAGCTAAAAGAAAAGCCACAAAGGACAAGTTCAAAATGCAGGTTTACAATTTGGAAGTGGCGCAGGTTATTTGGAATGTCTACAACCTTTCAGGAGGATTTTTTTTTGAAGTAAGATTTTCAAACAGAATTACTGTTATTCCATATTTTATTCAAATATTTAGCATAAACAATGCATTACATTCAAGATTAAGGGCATACAATACAGAAAAGATATCTGGATATTTGAATAAATTATTTTTTTTGTGACAAAATAGAAACAAGTTGTTTATTTAAATCAATCTTTTAGTCCAACAGTGTGCTTTCATAAACAACATATTTGCTTTCCTTTGAAGTATTTCAAATACATATAAACAACATCTGTGTGTTTCTCGGAAGTTAAGTTATATTATTATCATCATTGCGAAAACAATGCTTAACACTTCAATAAGTTATTATGTGCCTATAGTATACTTCTAGGGCTGTATCATATGCCCTTAGATGCAAATGACAAGTTATAAAACTATGTCACCCTACAGAGTTTAACACTGAAAAAGGACAATAAGATGTTTAATGACATTATGTAGCAGGGCTTTTTAAAGGCCCCTACATGATACAATGCATTTAATGAAAACTAAAAAAAAACAAGAAAAACAACAGCCTGATTTATACAAAACAATAAAAGAAAAAAAAATATGATAGACAACAATCAACGAGTATAATGAAATAAGACTCTTGACTGGACTCATATCTAGTCTAAAGTTTTTTATGTGTTTTTTTTTAATAACTAAATGAAGTTCAGCGTGGCATATTGCTCTCTCTTAACACGGTCAGCCATTTATCGTCCTCTTCCGACAGATTATCATCGTTATTTGTTTCAAAACTTTAAAGTGGAGGGGATGTATATTCTTCAGGCAACATGAATCGTTCTATAATAAAGGAATGTGCAAGAAGTTTATATATGAATGTAAGAGTAATTTTTTTTTTCAGAAGCATGGCACAGCAAGAAAAAGATATAAGACACTACAAGACATTCCAAGTGATTTTGAATAAGACAATTGATTGACTTTTTCAATGTATTCTTAAATAAATCAAATAGTTGATGTAAAATGGTGTTTTGTTCTCATCTCTTCAGCCAATTATCAATGATTATTGACTTAAGATGTAACCCTATTAGAAGTGTAGCGTTTTAGTTTAGAAAGAGAAGTTGTATTGAAAAATCTGAATTTGGGACAAGTTTTAGTCAATGTAACTTGAACTTGAAAATGTGTATAATGTTTGCATAATGTCCAATGGCATATATGTCATGCATGTTCGGGTTGACATATGCATGATGTGTATAAGATAGGTAATAAAAGTTGAGAGTGAAAAACTAATTATTATACTATTGTGGTTGGAATGTGGGCTTTCTTGCACTGTTTGTCGTCTGTCCACCTATACTTGTCGGATTTTGTCCAACAAATATTTTCATCACTGTTTTTCCCAAAACTGCTGATAAAGATGAGTTCATATTTAATGAGCTGCTTGATAGTGATGAACTGTGATGTGTGAACCTCACCTGTTTCCTGTTTGCATATACATTGTATTTCAAAATGTTGAATGTTCTCAAATTTTTCATTACTTTAATTAGTAATGCTGATGAACAGAATGACTTCATATTTGGTAAGTGGCTTGACCATGGTGAGTTGTGTCTGCCATTTTGGATGTGTCAAAATTTGTAGATACTTCTTGTTTTTAGAGACTTTGAATTGTGAATTTCATATGCTTAGAAAAACAACTGATTTATTCTTGTTTGTATATAGAATTAATCACTGTGTATAAATTAATTTCACTAATGATTTGTTATTTAAAAAAGCAGGAAACTCAATCAAAAGTACAGAAATTTTTATATTGATATGATCTAGATATCAACCAAAAACATCTTCTTAAAACATTTTGAAAACATTTTTTAGGCACAGTCTCACTTGCAAGAAAACATCCAAAAAACCTTTTTATAACATTATACAATTATGGCCCGTTGAAAAGGTGAATATCCAAAATTGTCAACACGAGAAGGTTATTTCACTGAGGGCGCAGCCCGAAGTGAAATAATTTTTAAGGGTTGACAATTTTGGATATTCATCGCTTCTAAGGGGCCACAATTGTTTTATTATACCGAACTAACAGTGGAAGGGCATTTTGAATAATTATAATAGCACTTACCTTTACTTGAGTCAGTAACAAACATAAGTTGACGTTCAAAAATACATGTAATTTGTGTCTTAGAATTCTCGTCTGTACAACAAAGGTAGATTCTTTTTGTAAAATATTGATGGCCCTGAAAAGGACCGTTATTAGAGATATCATCGGCACAAGATGCACGTCAAAAGCCTTATTTCCTCTTCTCTCGATCAATGGGCTTCCTGTAACTTGAACGTTGCCATTTTGTTTATTTACGTCTGTGACGTCATTTTCACGGGTACAAATCAACAAACTAAAAAGGTTATTCGCCGGTGAATAATAGGGTTATTCAACGCTGGTGTAAATTTTTAGGGTTATTCGTTCTTCCTTGCTATTGAATGAAAATTAACTGAATTATTCCATGTCACGTGATAACGTTTTACCCAATAGAATTGTTTGAAAT